TTTCTGTGATACCTGTTAGCTAACAGCCATGGTCAAACAAAACAAACAACAGATGCAAAAGCTACGACTGCAATAAAAATTAAGACGAGGAAAAAAAAAGATAATAAGGGAAAAAAACAGCAAAAGCCAATTTTGGTCTTTTAAATGGTGCCAAGTTGCTTGACTCTTTTTGTTTATGTACAGATGACATAACCGAATTACTTCATGAGCTGCTACTTTAATTCCTAGGGGTGGAAAATTCCATAAGTTAATTTAACGTGGATGTAGAAAAAAAACCAACCCTACATGTGAACGTGCTCCCTTCCTGTGGGCCCTGGTGCGGAGCGTGCCGGCGAGCCCGCGGCCCCCGCAGCAGCCTCTCAGAAACAAGGCAAGTATCTGAAAACTAAGGCAGTTTGGGTGTCTTACGGGTTTCCATCCATCCCTCCGTGCACAGCTGCAAAAGGAAGCCGCCTCGGAGGAGAGCSGTGCACGAGCCACCCTCCGCCGCCGCTCCCCGCAATTGAATTTGCGACGTTACACTAAAATCCCTGCAATCCCCGCGAGCTCTGCAACAACAGGAACTACGGAAAGCCAGGAAATTCACGGCGAGCGCTGGAAATAGGAGCTTAGCTCATGCCCTGGGGGCCGGGGATGGGAAGGTGCAAGGGGATGACCCCAGCACCGTTCCCTGATGGGCCTTTGGGAATGGTGCCAGCTCCTGGTCCCCGCGAGGAAGCCAAGGTCACCGTGCGGCTGCGGGCAGCAGCTCAACCCCGGCACGCGCCCGTGGGACCCCGGGAGCATCCGGAGCTGCTCCGCGCACGGGGTTGATGCCATCGGAGGAGAAGGTGGAAACGGGGGCACCTGAAAGCCATCGAGGGCGGACGCTTTTGGGGGCGAAGGTGCGCGGGCACGGAGGCTTCCCCGGCCCGTCTGCGCGCGCTTCCGGCCCGTACCTCCCACTGCTACTTTATTTACTGCAGCTGGCCGCAGTTTTATAGCCTGTTTCATGTATTAAAATTCAAATGTGGAAAACATTACCAGTATCCTCCTTGATTTTTTTTTTTTCCCCCCTGAAATTTTTTTCCCCCCTTCCACTTCCTTTTCAGCGAGGAATGTATCAAATGGTCAAAGGCTAACTCGAGACTGACTCCACTCAAAAACTATTTCCTTTGTTCTGGTGTTTTTGCTTCAAAATCCACCCCAGTTTTCCAAAAAGAAATGCTCCGGCCCGGCTCCTTCGCCCAAGCTGCAGTTTCAGACAGTGAGTAATGCAGCTCGGGAAGCTGCCAGAGCAAAGCCTGTCCTCTCTGTGCAATTCCCCCCTTGAATTCCCTCTGCCCGGGGCTCTCCTGGATTTGCCAACTCCGGAGGAGAAGCAGGCAGCAGAAGTGAGGGCGATAAGCACGGCCAACCCCAACCCGTGCACCCTGCAAAAAACTTCATGCCGCTCCTAAAGACACAAACGCACTCCTGAAATGCGCGAAACGAGAGCTTTAATTCTCCCTCGTTGCAGGGTTTTGGGTTTAAACCAAACTGCACCTACATCTGGTATTTGTGCGAGGAGCGCATATTTATGGAACGAGCCGTCTCTGAAGTGATGCCCTGGGTGCATGTTGCATCAGTTTAACATATGCAAAGCGAGCAGAGCTACAAAAATTAAACTCTCTTCCCTTGATTGAGAGCAGATACGCAGGAACGGTTGTGAGTCGCAGATCTGGCTTTTAATAAAGCCAGATTTCTTCATTAAAAGCAGTATTGTTTAAACACTGGAGGAGGAAAAAAAAAAAAAAAAAGAATAGCTTTGTACAAACTAAAATCTTAGATTATATGGATCCCAAGTGTATTTAACATATTACCTGAGGCCAAGAGAACTGTGAGCTAGAGTTTCCTTTTGTGAGTTCCCAGCAAGCGGCGGGGAGCGCGGAGCAGCGGCTGCTCCGGCCCCKTTCCCGGGGATGGGAAGGGGATGGGGACGAGGTGCTGGGAGAGCCGCCCGCGCCCCTGCCAGGCCCTTTCCCCTGCACTCTTGTCAGGGTTTKGAGCCTCCAAATGGCACAAGCTCAAGTGGCTTTTAGCCATATTTGGCCCAGGACACAGCCACTGTTGTTAATATTTAATTTAATGAGGAGCAGAGCTTGTCGCAAGGTAAAGAAAAAAAAAATCCACCTTATCCTAGCTTTGCAGGTGCTTGATTCCAACAGCTAATASTGCATTTTAACAACCCACAGCTACAGAAACTATTGCATTCTCGCAGGGTTTCCCAGCTCCGGGTGGATATTTAGCCCAGGGCACCGGCATTGGCCATGTTTGCATGAGGGACGTGTTGGGTGAGGATCCTCGGCAGGAGCTTGCTGCAAGACGGGGCGGTGGGAGGCCAGGAAGATCCCGGGAGAACCCTGGGAAGAGCCATGCCAGAGGGCTGGTGGTGCTGGGAGCCTCATTATCTCATCCCGAGGGCGCCCAGCGCTGGGCATCCCCGCGGGTGCAGCAATTACGGAGTAATTGGCCACCACAAGAAGCGTCTTCCTTCCCCCAAGAGCTGCCTCGCGCTCTGCCATCAAAGTCTTTTTTTTTCCTCTCCTTTCCCCTTGTGAAAAAAAGAGGAATCCTGTCAAGGTTTTTTTTTTTTTTTTTTTTTTTTTTAAAAAAAAAGACGCTAAATGTTTGCATTTTCCATATGATGTCTAATCCCATTGGGAATGTGCCGGAGCATTTGGCCTTGATTACATCGTGGAGCAATGAACTTCACAGGTCATTGTGTGCCAACTGAAAAGTACTTCTTTCGGTCAGGTTCCCTGAATGTCCCCCTGTTCTTTAATTATAAGGAGGGCTGAATAGGAGGGCGAGATTTACCTTCTCTGCGCGCTCTTTTATCCCCACACCTCTTTTATGTCTCCTCCTATTCATCCCGCTGAACAAAATCACCACAATCTGTTCAACCTCTCTTCACAGGGAAATCTTTCCATGCTCCTTGCAATCATCCCTAGTGCTTTGCCACCGAATTCCGTCTAATTTTATTGAGCTTTTTGGTGATAGGAAAACCAAAACAGAACACAGACCTCCAGGTAAGGACGAATGCAAATATAGGTATATGCATATTATGTATCTCCATATATATCTGCGGAATTCTTTGGCACGCCATCAGTTCCAGCATCCTTTCTCACGTGCTTTTTCAATTCAAAGGGCTTTTTTTGTCTTTTTTTTTTAATGGTTCCTGCACACTGCAGAGCAATTTCCCGCACGTTTCCCCGCTCCCTTGTCTGGAGCCCCCCACGTTAATTGCAATTCCTCCTCCTGCGCCGCGCTGCCGTGCGCCGGGCCCGTGGGATGAGCGGGATGGAGCCCGGTCCTGTCGCAGCGCCACATGGCAACGGACTGGCCTCGGATCTGTCGCGGCCCGCGCCTTTCCCACGTATTTTCCTCCACTCTTAATTAGCCCAAATAGCTGGAACCCTCTGAAAATGCTGCCAGATAACTCATCGCTCCCTTTTTCCATTCCGCCCATGAGTAAGCGACGTTACTCCTAGAATTAAATTTTGCGGTATCAAAACCATGGCTCTTCAGCCTYGCGGGGAGCCGTACATTCAATGCCACTCCTCACTCCCTAACGCATCTTCACTTTCTAATCCAGAACCGCCACTTCTCCATTAACTTATATTTMCATTATATTTCCATTAACTTCTTCCGAGGGCCTTCCAGGTTTCTCTATATTCAAACACGTTTCCTTAGCCGCTTCTCCTTTCCTTATCATTTTGCTAACATATCTAAAGGACGAGCAGATTGCACAGACATGATTTTCCTCCGCAAGCAAGCAAGCAACTGCAGAGTATTTCCTTTCCACAGTGCACGGTGCTCTCCATGAAGCCGTGGGTCAGGTACACACCACACAGTACAAGCAGAAACAACCCGAGCARATCGCAGACCCGGCCGCATCGGTGCCACCAAGGTGCTGCGTGGCACGCGAGCCTCTCTGCCACCCCAGCACTGCTGCGACGGCCACTGCAGCCCCATGAGCACACACATCTCCAGCTCTGGAGCTCCTTCTCCGCCCACATTTAAGGGTATACTTGAAATGTGCGCCTTGTTGCACCCGTTGCTGGCTGCAATCGGGTCTTCTGTTGCAAAGAGGCCCACATGAGCCCTGAGCAAAATGTCCTGCTGCGGAAAATGCACTCTGGCACCCTACGGATGCACCCTGCAAGGGCTGCATTGTACATATGCACACACCATATAGATGCACACTGCAAGGGCTGCATTATACCTATGTACACACCCTGTGGATGCACCCTGCAACGGCTGCATTGTACATATATTCACATCCTATAGATGCACACTGCAAGGGCTGCATTGTACATATGCACACACCATATAGATGCACACTGCAAGGGCTGCATTATACCTATGTACACACCCTGTGGACGCAACCTGCAAGGGCTGCCTTGTGCGTATGCACACACCCTATGGATGCACACTGCAAGGGCTGCACTGTACATATATTCACATCCTATAGATGCACACTGCAAGGGCTGCCTAGCACACATGCTCACACCCTATGGATGCATGCTGCAAGGGTTGCCTTGCACATATGCACACACCTTATGGATGCACAYTGCAAGAACTTGCAAGCACGCGCGCTTGCACATTATGGAAGCACATTGCAAGAACTGCCTTGCACGTATGTTCATATCCTATGGATGCGCACTGCAAGGGCTGCCTTGCATGCATGTTCACATCCTACAGACACACACTGCAGGAGCTGCTTTGCACACACGCTCGCACCCTATGGATGCACACTGCAAGAGCTGCCTTGCATGCACGTCTGCACCTTATAGATGGACATTGCACGAGCTGCCTTGCACACACGCTCGCACCCTGTGGATGCACACTGCAAGAGCTGTGGAAAACGCACTCCGGCACCTATGGCTGCACACTCCAGGGGCTTCCTCGCACGCACGCTTACCCCCTATGGACGCGGGGGGCAAGAGGCGCCGTGCGGCCGCGCGCACCCAGCTTACCATGAGCGAGTGCCGGTTGGCGGAGAGCAATCCGGTGCCGTAGCCGGAGCCGAGGCCGCCCATGGCGCCGTTGTGCGCCGGCCCTATTAGTCCGTGCATRTCTCCGTGGCTGCCGGGCATGGCGGTGGAGGGCCCCACGGCGTGGTTCCGCAGCACGTGGATGGCGTCGTCCAGCCGCTCCAGGCGGTCCTCGATGCGGCTTTGCTGCGGGAGCGGGAGCAGCGTGAGCGGGCGCCGCGCGGCGGCCGCGCGCCCCGGCCCGCCCGCCCCGCTCCTGCCTCGCCGCCCGCTTGCCCGGGGGGGTCCTGCCTGCCCTGGGGGGCTGCGCTGGGGGGCCCGGGCGCGGGGCAGCACGGCTAGCACAGGGGCCGCGTTGATTTTCATGGGCAAAACAGGTTCAATGATTCCTCATGAACATGATCAGCACAGTACATCCGTTGCCCTCTGCGTCTTTGGAAAGTTTTAGCGCTACTTAAAAAAAATAAAATAACAAAAAGGGAATAGTAATATAAAAGCAAAAAAAAAAAAAAAAAAAAAAAA